TGTCTCCCCACCTCCGCCGGTCAGATCCTCGGACGCCAATGTCTTGTCACAGGTCATGGACGGTCTATTCAACTTCCACTGCATCGCCTCCCAAAGCAGTCTCTCAAAGGCTAGAGGCACCTCCAATTCCTTCCACTTCTCCACGAGCAAGTCGAAGTACGAAGGCATGCCAGACACATTCTCGCACTTGTCCATGATTAGTTTCGCCTTGCTCAACATGTTCGTCCATTTCTTCCGACAATCTTTTGCTGTCCTGTGCCGGAATCCGTTGTCTTTCATTCGGTCGTGCACCCAGGCGTACCGCTGCTTCATCTTCAGGAACTGATGTTGACCCTCCGCGTCAGCCATGAGGGCGTCGTCCTCCCCCATCAACTTCGCCAGGGTGATCCTCTTCTCCAACGTCCAAGGGACGTTTTGTTTTTTGTTTGTCGCAGCATTGTCTTTGCCCTTGCGCTTGTCATGAGGACGACCACCCTCCCGTCCGTCCAAGGTCTGCCCTTGGTGGAATGTTGTGCACTGTCTACATCTCCACGAGCATTGTCTGAAGTCTGCACAAGAATGCTCACTCCATCTCCCTCATCATCACCGTCGTCATCACCTTCGCACGCTTCACCTTCATCCGCATCATCATAAAAATCTGATGTCCCCGATAAACGGTTTCCTGCAGGTCATCCCTGGTTGGTCTCTTGGCAATGCGCATCGCGCATGGAAGTCGACTGATGACAAGGCGTGCGTCTGGCCGATGGTCGACTCGGGATCCCATTGCACCGTTCATTTGCTGTGACGTATGTCCGCACTGCGGGGACCACGATTGATCACTCCTCATTGCGCTGCCCCTGTCAACATTGTGCTGGGACGACAGGTCCTGTGTCGGAATGCCAAATCCGCAGCCGGCCTCAAGGGAATGCAGAGCAGGTGTGCCGTATCCGACACCAATCGGACCCGGGAGGGGACCATGGCCCATGTACATGGCTCCTGCAGGCATACTCTGCCTAGACGACCATCCAGGGAACCGTCCACGTGTCCCTGCCGCATGCTGATGTGCGGAAGCAGGGACAGGGGCCCGTGATATATGGATCGGCAAGCCTCGACCCCCGTCAAACAACTGGCCGGTGAAGGATTGAACCACCGACGTTGATGGCGAAGAGCACGACACAGCTCCGTGAACAGGAACGTCTTGCGTTTGGAAACCCCCATCGTTGCCCGCCGAGAGATCTGTCCTCCATCGACTGGAATCCATCCGACCTACCAATAAAAAAACTCTCTCTCTCTCTCTCTCTCTCTCTCTCTCTCTCTCTCTCTCTCTCTCTCTCTCTCTCACCCCCCCCCTTCCGAAATACCTCCATCGACACCAACAAAAAAGGACAGCCACACACCCTAAAATCAAGAAGAGTAGCACCACGGCACCCATGAGGAAAAGAACTGCAATGATGCCTGCGAGGACAACCCAAGCTGGGATTTTGCGACGGCTACCACATCAGCAGCGGTTGTCGATGACAATGGCATGGATGCACAAACGCTGACGGTGGTCCTCACCCGTCGACACCTGCCAAGGATGAAGAGGACCCGGTACGTGGCGAGGAAGGGGTTGTGGAGTGGCATGCACATCCCCACATGCCCCCTAGCCCACCTCCCGTCTGCCGATGATTGTGTCTGCCGATGACACACGCACACCTTGCCTGGAGAGCCGGACGACGGGAGATGGCAAAGCACAGAACCTTGGAACGATGGCCCGTGTCACTTGCACCATGGGCGACGACAAGTTCGCAGGCTGTAGATTTGCAACACGACACGACACAGGATGCACACATTGCACGGGTTGTCTTCCACGTTGTCGTCCACATAAAACGGTCCGCACACCTCCGACAACACTGGAATGCACCTCACGGACTGTGTCAATACGACACCATGACCGACAACCCCGCACACACACCTCACGGCCTGCACGTGCCAACGACACCAGCGACGACATGGCAGCGCGCACGTCACCATAAATGCGGAGGGAGAAGGTGAGGACGCCGGTGTATTCGAAGCATCAACGCAATATGCGACATGCACACCCACGGACGTACGTCACTGCTGCATGGCTGGCCGTCGTCCTCTGGCCGCGAAAAACATTGAATTTGAAATTATGTGCACCGCTGCAGGGTCGTTTCAAAAATCTGGGGACGCGGAACCCGCCTGTGCCTAGAGGCCATGTGCGAACCGTGCGACAACAAACCGGTTGTCCGCAGCGGCAACGCAGGTCCAAAAAATGGTCCCCTCCACCGCTGCGTGGACCATGCCGTCTGGCCCTCCGATGCCATCGGAGAACATGCCCCCCCCCCTACTCTGCTGGGGGCCATGTTTGGAAAAGGAATGCTGCGATCGGGCAGCGATTTTCCAGATCGCCGACCATGTAGAAACGCCCCGTCAGCATTTCGGCAACCCCTTTCCATCACCGGTCGGGTCTGGAAAACCTTTCCAAAGAGGCTTTCCACACCTCTTTCCATCACCGGTGGGGTCTCCAAAACGATCGGGCGCTTTTTTTTTTCCAAGCTGCCGTTCGGTGGGGTCCACCTCTAAGACTAGACATAACTTACAAGGAAGAACACTTAGAGGGGGACCCCACTGGGCGGCGGCCTGGAAAATTTTGGGCGCCAGGGTGTTTTCCAGACCCACTGGGTCTGGAAACCGGTGTGGAAAGCCAGCCTGGAAAGGAATTCCAGATCCCACTGCGCTTGTAAAGAGGTTGTGGAAATGGTGACGGGGCATTTCTACATGGTCCGCGGTCTGGAAATTCGACGCCGATCGGTGTCCAGACCCTTTCCAAGGAGGCGGCCAACACTTAGCAATCGTAGGTATTTATGGCCCCAACATCCCTCAAGAAGGAACTTCATTTCTCCATACAATTTAAAGTTTAATCCCATGCCACACACATACAATCCTTGTGGGAGACTGAAACTCGGTACAAGAAATAACATTAGATAGGATTTCCAACTCTAGTGACCCCGTCCAACAGTCTAACAGCCTTGGAACTAACATAATTCATCACAAGGAAAAATTTAATAGACCCATTTCGACTACTGCACCAAAAAAAAAAACAGCTCTCATGTATAAGAAAGACAACCAATAACAAAACATCCTTTTCAAGAATAAAATTCTTCCTCATATCAGAACCCTTAGTAGGAGCTACTTCAAATTGCAAAATTGAACTCTCTCCACACCATAATGGATTGGATCATAAGGCTATCTCTCTCTCCTTTAGATTCTATAAAACAGGCTACTTGGTCAAAAGCTTCTATCGATTTAGTAACTCTCTCCTCGCCAGCAAACCGTTTCAAACAGAACTATTTAATATCATAACCCAATCAGTACAAAAATGGGGAAGTGAAGATATCTTCTGAAAGTTCCCGGAAATTATTAAAGAAACTAGACGGCGGGTAGCAATAACATCCAGAAAAATGGTCACCCAAAGGAAAGAAAGGGAAGAGAAGCTCATGAATGCAATAGAAGTGGCAGAGGGAAACCTACAACTCAACACCAACCCTGAACTTTTTTTAGAACTGTATTGAAAATCCAAACAGGAAGTCACTGAATGGACCAAATTGAAACTCCAAGGTCTCCGACTGAGTGTCAGGGTAAATGACTGCGAGCTGAACGAAAAGATGTCCAAATACTTCTTCCAAAAAAATAAATCCAATTCCATACCCTCAAAAATAGACAATCTACAAGACACCAACGACACACCTACTTCACAAACCACCCAACTAATCGGTATCGCAACCACCTTTTATAAGGAACTATACACTAGCAAAACACCAATAAACAAAAAAAAAAAAGTTACAAGAGCTAGGAATAAATTCCTAACCCGCATAGATTGATCCCCATCAATTGAAGCAGCAAAAATACTAGAAAAAACAATCACCCTAGAGGAACTATTCCAAGCCCTTAAGGATATGAAACCAAATAAAGCCCCAGCCAGAGACAAACTATCTAAGGAATTATGGTTAGCAAGCTGACATGTCCTAGGCCCCCTACTCCTAAGTTTACTCAAACAAGGATGGATAAAGGAATCCCTAGGTTCAAACCTCAGCACGGGAGTAGTGACTCTCCTCTGCAAAAAATGAGACA